ATTATCAATGACTTATTATAAAAACGATAATCACTATAATCTTTTAACATCATTAAAACTTACCATCAGACAAGCTACATCAATTAATAATCATTTCCCTTATTACTACCATTTCATTTCCACTAAAATAGTAAGCATTCAAAACAATGGAGGTCAATGTGTAATCAATGTGGAATCACTACATGCCATAAAAACAAAATAAAAAACAAAACAGGCAGTATAAGCCAGTGAATCACAAGGGGGCACTAGCCTAAAGTGATGCAGCCAAGCAATCAAACTACTCAATTCTAGGCTAGTGAAAAAGCATAGCCTATAGAAGGCACAGCATCAACCAAAGTTCTACTATAATGAGGTAGGTGCTTTCAGTCACGTCCTAAAACCAGCAACCTGTGTGGTAAATTGTTCAGATGGTTTCCATTGTTCTCTTTAGTGAAATGTTGTACTATGAATACAAGGGAACATGTAATATTGTTTGAATACACTAATATTCTCCTACAATATTTAGTGCATTTTCGAACATTTCTTTTTAAAGTTATTTGGCAAACTGAAAGTTGTAAATGGATAATTTCATAATTTTCTAATTAATATAAGTATAACTTGTGTAGGATCATTATTATCTTTCAAATCACTATCATCAACATTATATTTTTTCATTTCCAATATCCAATGATTTTTTGGCAGATGTGGTTTCTATCATGTGATGCCTAACTGCTAATCTTTCTTTTCTCTTACCATTCATTCCTCTTAAATGACAAAGAAAAAGAGAGAGAGAAAAAAAAAATCCAATAGCATGATTTTGTTTCTACTAGTTTGTGGAACTGAAACAACAAAGAACTGTAACTTAATAAAAATGCATATGAATTAAATGTGACACATACGTGTGTTTATTCTTGCCTGTTTACACAAAGTGGAAATATAACTATATTTTATTAGTCATTTGTCAATCTGAGAATATATAACAAAAATTAATATGAGTGGTCAAAACAAAATCTGAACTTTCATAATAAAACTTTTATCAAATATAATCTAAAACAAAACTATCCAGAGTCAAATTCCTAAGCTGAACAGAGTACATTTTACAATAGTACATTTCCCCTATAATTCTTCTTGTGATTTTGATATTCACAAACACTTACTTTCACTCTACACAAGCAAGGTACAGTACAATGGCACCATAAAACAAAAAGCACTGACCTACTTGGAATGCAGCTCTAATACTCAAAGTCTAGATTGAATATGCCTAAGGCTGAATGGCAAATCCGAGCACGTCTTCATAAGATAAATGATACTGAAATTCTGGACTGCCAACAAAATCATACTACTATGACAGCCCAATTGAGCCATAATAAACAATAGGCTATACATTTACCACATTTTTTTCTTTTCTAATGCAAAGATAAACAACATTCACAAATCAACATCACAGTGGTTCCTAACTGGTGGGTCGTCATTCAGGGTTAGCATGTGAGTTGTGAAGCCCTAAGGACAAATATCATAAATCCAATGTTTATTCAAGAATAAACAATGAAATCATGTGTTCAAAATTAGCAAATAAAGATTATACAGACTGCAATTTTTTTTCTCTCTCTCTTGGCCTAAAACCAGAGAAGAAAATATAAATGGATTGCCTAGTGTCATCAGGGGTTATAAAGTGTAAAAAAAACAGGGAATCACTGCTCTAACTTGTATACCAAAAAGCTATCATGTGTACAAAAATGACAATGATAACAATACTAGATACATTAGCACGGGCTAAAATTGAATCATTCACCCCTACTGTTTAATATTTAATACAAAAACCTTATCTACAAAGAATGAAGCCTAACAGACTAAATAAAATAAGAAAGGAAATCTTATGATCAGTCTTCAGACATATAATGTTCAAATTTCTGTAGCAGAAATGTGGAATATTTTGATTTAAAATAGCTTTATCAATTGGCTTGCAAACCAAAATTACTAACAGAAACACAAGATAAAAGAAAGCTTTCTCGCCAAAATGACTAGAAGAGGAATACAAACACCAATACAAGTACAATAAACTTTTCACAATAAAGAAAAATCTTTACTAATTCTTATACAAAGGTTGAATTCAAGTTTACCAATTAAAGTTCAGCTAGGATGGCACAACCTACTTGTTCTATCAACTGCAATTTTCTTTTATAAATTGTGTTTACATACAGATGGCTCCACAGGTTCTTAGTCACTAAGGAGTCCCAATTATTAGTCCTACTTATCTCTTGTATATCTTTTTCCTCAATTTTTGCAAAAGACGCCTTTCTAATCTTTATTGCTATTGGTATTTTAATAACATTATAAATATCATAATGTCAATGATAATAATAGTATCAAAATCATTAACATTAAAAAACACATCTTTCCCCAAAATTCAAGGAATAGGGAAATCAGGTGAGGTCTCATAGGGCCTACTAATTGACTCTTTGGTAGCTGAGCACCTATGCAGCCATCTATGTGCAACAAAATTCACAAAAACGTACAGTAGGCAGTACATATATCCACAGCCAATGGATTAAGAATGATCTTCCATAAATGTACAAGCAGAGACTAGAATACCTATAGAAAAGCGCAATTTCCAAAGACGAGATGCTATTGCATGGATTCAGATACTAATAGCACATTGTCAATGTTATCTTATAACCAAGCATAGACTACTGTGGATCAATCTTCACATTTTATATAATCCCATGTATTCATACATCTTGGCTATGTAATACTGGTTGTATGTACATTTCTTTCAATTAATATCACTACATTGTTTGGACGTCAATACACCTGATTGTTTACAAAATGTTACTTCCCTCCTACAAATTACACTTGGATAATGGCCTTATTCTTTTCTTACATTTTCATCAAATCAAACTGACTTGACTACCATTATTTTGGTATACGTAAAGTACCTCCCTCATCCCCCCCCCCCCAAAAAAAAATAAATAAAAATAAATAAAAAGACAAAAAAGCAACCCTAAAATCCAGACTCAACTTACCTTTTACTGGAACTCATTATCGCAGAGTGAAGCTTCCCATAAATCTGTATTAGTGTCTCATGGTTACATCATGGTTTTCCAAATTCATGCTGCAAAAATGGCAATCCTTCTTCTTTTCTGAAAAAATGCAATACTGTGAGCACACAAGCCATGGTCATGCATCCCTACTAACCTATCAATTTATCTAATATGATTGGACTCTTCTAAGAACTGTTATTTCTCCTGAACTTTTGCATACCAGATATATCTACATTTTCACAAAAGCAATGCAATAATAAAATAGAAAAGGTATCAGTTGCATTCATATGATCAAGAAAAAAGTTACAGTACAAACAGAAAGAAACAGACTAGAAATCACAGAGTACAGTAACTATATTGTACTTTGCCACATATTACTAATGCCAAACACAGTTTTCTAGGGGTCACAATCTCTGCGTTTTGAGTGTGCGGAGGCTTTGTTCATGGTAATACAATACAAGCTCTTCATTTTATCAATTCTGCATAAAGCTTTATTATAGTATTGCTCCAAGAAGAATTTTAATAACAATAAGGCTATGGTACTGAATGCATCCCGCTGCAATACTATACGGTAATAATGAATTCTAAGTTAATAATCATATAAAACTCTCTATTCTTTTTAACTTCTTGCTGACGGGCCATGCCTATCAGCATCATAACAAACTGCTCGGTCTGCAGGGTACACCTGTATTTGCAACGAGGTGCCAGAATGCTTGATGTAGCGGACTCCCGTGCCCAGTGTCTGCCCATTGCAAGAAATCTCTAGAGTTTAAAATTCTCTGTAATTTTTTTCCTGTTTAGGCTTTACTTAATTTGATTAATATCGTCTATTTGAAATTAGTAATTAGCCAGAACAGAATGGACAAGAGAAAACCTAAACAACGGATATAATTTAAAAATTTTAAAAATCATCTGCCAAGATATTACAATTTTGGCAAAGGATAACAATGAAACTATATCTGCTTATCCAAGTTCCTAAACTTAGGTATCTTAGCACTTTTAGACTCAATGGTGATAAACAACAAATGCAATATTCCTTGGTTATTATTATTTTTTTTTAGAAATAAAAGAAATAATTAAATAAAATATTATCCAACTTCAAAATTACGGTCAAGGAGACACTCAAAAAAAAAGTATTTCAGATAAAAGCAAGCAACCGTAACGATACAACCAAAACCCATTAGGCAAAAATAACCAACTTTTGCAACTTAGAGGACTATATCTGGAGTCTTGTAAACGTACCATTTGCCTTAAAGATTTTTACAAGACAATTTCTTCCCGAAAGCACCTCGAAGTTCCTTGAAAAATACACTTAAGAATCAACCTGTTGCTATTCTCCCGCCCTACACCTCCTCCTTCCCCCTGAGTAACAACCTTAGAGATGCCTTTGGGACCTGAATCTCTTCTCTGTGTCCCTTAATGGCTCTGTTTTGGGCTCGGAAGGGACGTGACAGCACCTTATTAGGGTTTTTTTAAGACTGAGCCCTTTAATGAGACTAATTTAGGGACTCACTGAGAGGCTGGTTTGTTTACGTCTGGCAGGAGAGGAGAAGGGATCGAGGGCTTTGTATAAGGGGTTGGAATGGCTTTCGGCTTTGGTGCGGAGAGGTTTTATGTATCGTAGGTGTGTTTTGGTTGGGCGGAGGGGATTTTTTTGTGTTTGAGAAATGGTGTGGAATGTGTCTGTGTTCATATATTTTGTTTTTAGTTTCCGTGTATGCTGTTTTTTTTTCTTATAAGGTTTGGGTTCTTATGGTATTCGATCTTCTTTCCGTCCTGACTTGGCGTATGGTTCTTTTTCCAATAAATAAGATATATTTCAAATATTCAACTTCTTTAAAGCATTGACGTAAACTTATTTTCTAATTAATATTTTACTTGTTTTTCTCTAAGATACGCACTCGTTCCCGGGCCGCCCTCGCGCACGCCGCCCGCGCACCTCGGACGATCCTCAACAACACCAGCTCAGTCGTCGATGGTCGGGCGCGTAGGAGGGTCCGTGTGCGTAGCTCTTCACAAAACGCACTCTGGACCAAATGTAAAAAAAAGACAGTTAGATTTCGTGAAGGATTGGAGATAACATGATGCTTTGGTTTAATTTCCCCCTCCTAGTTACGTGAGACGCGGTTCCTCCTGGTAGACAGGAAAACGTTTTTTTGTGTGTTTGTTTATTTTTTTTTTCTCGTGTGTCTTTCGGAGGAGACGAAGGCGAGAGAGAGAGAGAAGAAAACTCCCTCGTTACTCCCTTATTTCGCAGCTCCTCCTCCAGTGTTTTTTATTTCTAAATCGGCCGGACGAAGTGGCAAATGTGTAACAAGATGAGCGAGAAGGAAGGCAAGGAGGAGGAGAGGGCGCCGCTGATCGAGGAGACTTCGCAGCTGCTGAACCCCTTCGTGCATCGCCTGGAGCTCAACACGGCCTATGACAAGTTCAAGGTACGCCTAAGAGTGGAGTCCGAGGGGGGAGAGGTCTTTGTTATAAGTGGAAGGAGTGCATGCAGTGTGGCTACGAAGCGAGGAATGGTGAGACTCGCACACTTCCCTTGTACTAGGGGTCATTTCTTTTCTTTTTCCCTGCCTGTGTGTTTTTCTGTTCAAGAGATGTGAGTCTGTTTGTTTTTTTTAATCGTTGTCCCGCAAGTTTAAATTCGTGTCGTGTGTTGTGGTGTCTGTCAATGCTGGTGGAGAGGAGAGACGTCTGCGGTACCATATGCTGAATCGGGGGAAGGGGCCTCACCTGCACCTGACTTCATTCCCCTCCGCCACCTCTCCTCTTCCCTCTGCTACCACCACCAACCCCCAGCCTCCTCCTACTCCTCGTCGTCGTCGTCCTCCTCGTCCTCTTCCTCGTCGTCGTCGTCCTCCTCGTCCTCTTCCTCGTCGTCGTCGTCCTCCTCTTCCTCCTCCTCCTTTTTCTCCTCTTCCTCCTCTTCTTCCTCCTCCTCTTCTTCTTCCTCCTCCTCTTCTTCTTCCTCTTCCTCCTCCTCCTCCTCCTCCTCCTCCTCCTCCTCCTCCTCCTCCTCCTCCTCCTCCTCCTCCTCCTCCTCCTCCTCCTCCTCCACCAACCCCCAGCCTCTTCCTCCTCCTCCTACTCCTACTCCTACTCCTACTCCTACTCCTACTCCTACTCCTACAACACCCAACCACCACCTCCAACACCCAACCTCCTCGTCTAACCCCCAGTCTCCTCCTCCTCCTCCAACCCTCCTTCTCCTATTCCAACCGCCAGCTTCCTCCTCCTCCTCCTCCAACCCCCACACTCCTCCTCCTCCTTCTCCTCCTCCTCCTCCTCCTCCTCCTCCTCCTCCTCCTCCTCCTCCTCCTCCTCCTCCTCCTCCTCCTCCAGCCCCCAGCCTCCTCCTCCTCCTCCAGCCCCCAGCCTCCTCCTCCTCCTCCAGCCCCCAGCCTCCTCCTACTCCTCGTCGTCGTCCTCCTCCTCCTCCTCCTCCTCCTCCTCCTCCTCCTCCTCCTCCTCCTCCTCCTCCTCCTCCCCCTCCTCCTCCTCCTCCTCCTCCTCCAACCCCCAACCTCCTCCTCCTCCTCCAAACCCCAACCTCCTCCTCCTCCTCCTCCTCCTCCAACCCCCCAACCTCCTCCTCCAACCCCCCAACCTCCTCCTCCAACCCCCCCAACCTCCTCCTCCTCCTCCAACCCCCCCAACCTCCTCCTCCAACCCCCCAACCTCCTCCTCCAACCACCCCAACCTCCTCCTACTCCTCCAGCCCCCCAACCTCCTCCTCCAACCCCCCAACCTCGTCCTCCTACTCCTACTCCTCCAGCCCCCCAACCTCCTCCTCCAACCCCCAACCTCATCCACCTCCTCCTTCTGCTCCTACTCAATCAACCCTCCAACCTCATGCAGCAGCTTTCCTTATGAAAGGCTAATTTATGGAATTACACACACACACACACACACACACACACACACACACACACACACACACACATATATATATATATGTATATATATATATATTATATATATATATATATATATATATATATATATATATATATATATAATTTGATATTATTTATTACTACTATGTTATTTTTAATCCCCCCGTAATACAATGAGGACATTCAGAAGCTTTTCATGTATTAGAAACATCACAGAATTGGCAGTCGGAAAGCAGAAAGCAAACAAACAAGCATAAGTTAATTAGGTAAGGCTGGGTTAGATACGCCTAACTTGGGTTAAGTTAGTTTAGTTTAATTAAGGTTAGTTTGGATTGGGTTAGGCTAGGTTAGGTTAAGTTTACTTGTGATAGGTCGATTAGATTAGATTTGGTTAGGCTGTGTTCGGTCAAGTTATGCTCTGGTTTCAAGCGAATGCGAGCAGTTTCTTGTAGTTGTTTTGTGTGTTGTGAAAGTAATAAAAAGTCAGAGAGATTTCGAAGTCCAATTTCTTTCAAGACATTCAGAGACTATTAAGAATATGTCGTTTGTTTTGTATGCGAATGGGCACTGGATATCAATAAAAGATAATCTGTATTGCCAATGCTTATGCCGTATTACCTCCATCACCAAACCTCTCTGTCTATATAAAAGCACAATTTTCACCCCGCCAAAATCACTACAAAAGACCGTTCCCAAGAAGAAAAAGTAATAAAAAGAGACACATTAGAAAGTTCTGTTTCTCTCCCATCTCTCGGATGCTTGTCACATCTAAAGCATTCCGAAACACCTGAATGGAGGCGGAAAGAAGACGTGGAAAAATGTCTTGGTCCAGCGAGAAGCTACGGTCTCCTCCCCCTCCCCCTCCCCTTTCCTTTCCCCCTCCTTCATACATAATATGTGTGTCACACGGGAATCCACACCAACGTAGAGATTACCCAGTCGAAACGGACCGTATGTAATTTTTTTAGGCCTATTTGCGATTTTTTTTATATACTTTGAGTTACATACCGTTCAAAATAGATTAACGCGTTTTAAGAGACTAGGAAGGTATAGGTTCATAGGAAAAACAAAGTGGAATGGCCCATAAGAAGAATGGTGCTCTATATGTATATAAAAAAAAAAAAAAAATCTAGACTCGCCATCGAGGTGTAGTCTATTTGAGAACGATTATACATGCACCTGGTGCTATATGATCTTGATGCCTTGCTTATTTATTTGTTTTAACTCTTACCCATTTATACACGCAATCAGTATCAGCTGATGGCGATCTGAAAATGAGAGGCGTTTAGTTTAGACAGGCAATGCTGCTTGTGTTTTTTATGCGTTTTAGTGTGTTTTGGATGACAGTTTTATCTCAAACTCGCTTAATGTCTCAGAATAACCCTTGGGAATAAGACAAGAGTACAGCTTGGCATGGTATCAACATCTTACACAATTTTCTCAAGAAAAATACTGCGGGCATTGCATCCGATAGTCAAGGTCAGTGATGAATTCCACTGGAAGTTGGAGAGAATTTAAAGTTTCCACGCCGGGTCGGAAATTACGAAAACGAATAAATAAATAGATAAATAGAATAACGGTAAAAATGGAAATCAACGCCCTACGCTCCACCGGTAACGAAATCTCAAAAAACATTTATTTTGGCAGATCATCACAGATTGACCTGGTATTTCACGTATATGTATGCTTGGGGTTTGGGCTACGACAAAATGTATGTAGGCCTATGTGGTCCGTACGCGCGTGTTGATCTGTGTTAATACCAAGGAAATGATAATATAACACTACTTGTAGTTGTAGAATAGATATGGATGATAATAGATACCATCACAATACAAGACGGTCCAGTCCATGCACAATTCAGTATATTACAAGCCACATAGTTCTGAACTTTGGAAAACTACGGGTAGTAAAGTTCAAACGAAAAAATATCACTCGGCAGTATTTCATGTGAATTATGCTCGACGTGTTAAAATCTGTATTACACAGTGTTTCTGTAAATAGCTCGACTGGGCTTTACAAGTCAGCAAGTCGTTTTTAGAGGTTATGTATTGAAAGTTTTTTCAGATGTGATAGACGATTCTTCAGAATATTAAAAGGTTAGAAGCCATCTAGCTGGAAAAAAATTAAATTTTCTCGAGATTTTAACTTTTCAAAAAGGTTTAATTGTTCGCTATGTTCCTGCATTTGTGTGTAAATGCAGGAAAAATGAGCCGACATTCAAATGACATTTACCGCCCTTGAAGTCACTTTCATAAATAGTGTTATCTTTTAGGAGTTTTCTGTACTTTATGCAAGATGGTAGCAGTGAAAGTAGTAATGTTACGTTGAGTATTATATCATTGTGATAGCAGTGGGGAATCCTCAAACAGACGGACAACGATAAATATGATGTGTATAACAATTTTTTGAATAATATGTGCATTGTTCATTGGCTGGGGAGGGGGGGCATGGTAGTAACGATGGGAGTTAGTAGTAACAGTAAAGTTAATAGTAGTTGTAGAATAGTCTCAGATTCTCCGTCTAACCATGGGAAATATGGCTTTTCAGCATAGTAGATGTAGTTGAATATATAGTTTATTCACTTTTAGACACGGTGGCAGCGATAGTACTAACATCAATAGTGGTATCAGAATTAATATCAGATGCTCCAGCACGCTTTATCACGTGAATTCAGATGTTACGCCAGCACCGGACATGAGAGATTGAACAGCCGGTAGATAACGGACCGTCGTTTTTACCCTCGGTATCTAGAAAAAAAATACCTCTTACCAACCCTTTGCCTCAAATGTAACGCGTACGTTCGACCGTTCTTTGGTACACTTTGTTGCAAAAGATTATGGGATACCACTTCCTGTCATGGGTTTTAAAAAGATGTTAAAAAAAAACAAACACAAAGGGAAAAACAAGAGTTATGAGCTACGCCAGCACTCGTTGTATCATAGCATAGACATGTAAGGTGGACTAACCTGGTAGTTATGTCTGCGGACGATTATACATACATACATACATACATACATATATACATATATATATATATATATATATATATATATATATATATATATATATATATATATATATACATACACATACACATACATACATACATACATACATACATACATATATATATTGTACGTCTGGCTCTGCATGTGTTTGTGTATGATTAGTTGCGTGTAGTAGTAGCCTATATATGTGGTACGTAGTATGTACCGAGTAGCCTTGTTAGGTTAACCCTTAATAAATTGAGGTTAGAAGTAGCATTGTAGCCTGTGTGAATTGCTTACATCCGCCAGATATGAGTATCAACTCTTTGTCTGTGCGTGTGTCTGTTTGGGTATGTATGTGTCTGTGTCCTTGTGTGCAAGAGAGAGATTAAAAGCGAAGGTGTGCGTGCGTGCGTACAGACTAATATCATATCATATATCATAATTCATAACCATTTGAATTTGATAAGCAGTTTCTCTTTTAATCCGCGATGAAGTGAAGTTCTTCTTGCCATATGAAGTGGCAATGCCCATATGTAACGGTTTTGG